TTTTAACTGGTTGTCCTTGCTGGGGCCCAGAGAAAAACTGTTCCCGGTGCCCAACCTGCTCTTGATGCCCACCCATTTTATTTCCTTTGGTCTGAGCAGTGATTAGGTATTTTTCTTTTTAACTTCAGCAATTATTCTAAACATTCACATTAAATGAAAGTTTGTTCTCAAACTCTCAAGTAAAGTCTCCTCCTACTTCACATAGAAAAGCAACAACATCAGGTATCATTTCCTTCAATTTAATGCCTTTCATATATCTCTGTAGATCTATAAGACATGGTCCCATGGGTCCTGGAAGATGTGGAGGCCCCTACTATTCAAAGGCAATCCTCCACCAGGGTCCTTGATTTTGTATATTCCTATATCTTGAGATAGTTTGCCTTACTAGTGTATTTTCTTTAATTCCCTATACCCCAGTGTATAAATTGTCAATTTCTTTCTATTAAAAAAATACCCTTCATGTTTCTTTTTGTCTCCTAGCATCTGATTTTTCCTAGCATCTGATTTTTCTCTTACCTTGCTATCTCACCCACTTTCTACCAAAAAAAAAAAAAAAAAAAAATCTCCATTATCAATTCCTGTTCATTTTCATTCTCATTTTGCCCTACGCATTCTGACTTCTGGCTGGGATCAACCCATTAAGCATGCTTTTGTTGAGATCCCATTGATGTTTTTCAGTCTTTGTTTTTCTGAACTTCTCTGCTGTATTTGATATAATTGCTTATTTGCTCCTGCCTGGTGTGCAGGGTTCCATGTCCTTATTTCCCTCCTTCTTCCTCATTGACAACTTATTCTTAGTCACCTTTGGAAACTCCACTCTGCTGCCTCGCTAAGTTGGCACACCACAGAGTTCCAACCTTGTTCAACTCCTTGCCTTTCTCTAAAAGTTCTCAGAAAATATCATGGTTTGGCTTTAAGGACCACTTTTATGCTACCGGCTACCAGATCTTTAACTTTAGTCATATTTTTCACCTCAGCTTCAGATTTGTATTTCTTTGCTGTCTGGACATGTTCACTGCATGTTGCATAGGCATCTCAAGTGGAATATAACTCAAATGAAACTTGGCATTTCCAAACAACCAGCCCATCTTATTCTTACTCTGTATCTTCAAATCAGTTGGTAGCACCACCTTCGAAACATTCTTCTTATTCCTAGGCATCCTTTCCTGATTATGTTTTAAAATATGGTTTCCTTACTCAATCTGATCTTGTTGGATCTTGTTTTTATCAATTCCCCCCACCTTGACTTTTTTTTTTTTGTATATGGATGACATTCCTTGCTTGCTCAGGTGATTGTGCTTTGAAAATAATGTTTCTGTCTTTTCTCTCATATCAAAGGATTTGAGATGGCAGCAAGAGGTTGTAGTGTGAACACACAATATAACATCTTATGTAAAAACCAGTGGTATTAAATTTTTGCATACCTAAATTGTGTGAATTGATAAACAAATCCACAGTCAACAAATGTTATAAAATAAAGGAATATATTTTTGTGGTTGGCATATGGTATCTCAAAATTTTTAAGTATTTTAAAACTGCTTTTATTTGAATTGCCTGTTAATACTGTTATAAAAATGGAAGTCCAAAGATCTAAGGGCAAGCAAATGCCAGGTAGATGCTACAAAAAGTGTTTATGAAATCCATCGAGAGAGACCATACAGGGATGATGGTCAAGATTACACTTAATGCACACTACCATATTTCTTTGGAAAAGTTAGGAATATTTGCACATCAATGAAGTCGTACATTCTGGGCAGCAGGGCTGATGCTCTGCCTGCCAAGTCAGGATGCATTTTATTTTAAAATGAAAAGCACACATATAGTTACATACCCACCCGCATCCCTTCTTCATGTGCTCACACGTGCAAGTGCGCACACACACAAACACAGGCACTTAACCATACCAGCTCTTGCCAACATATATCTGGAGGAATGTCCATAGGATCCTAAACGGTAGAAGATTTATGAATCCAGTGCAATATCACAGCCAGCCAGCCACCACCACTGGCACTAGATTGTACTTTTGTACTTAGTTTTGCTACCACTCTTTCATATAAAACAGTAAATTGAAGTGATTTTCAAGTATGTGGGAGACCAAGGGGAAATCTTTTCTGCTTCTAGTAAGCACAGAATGCTATTAATGAGCCATGGATAGCTTCCCTACAACGCAATGCACTTAGCCACTTCCTCTGTGCTCATAGAAGCTGCGATTATCAAATTCTAAAGCAGTAGTTTGAAAAACGACTTCGTTTTTGAGAATTTGTGGGATATATATCTTTATAAATTTTATTTCTTCCTGCCATGGGGTGTTGAGTATCTGCTATTGACATAAAGTTTATATAGCACTTTGAGCTTCGGGGATAAAAGAGATATGATTACAAAGAAAGGTAAGAATATTAAAAAAGAAGAGTAAGAAGGGAGTATTTGGCCCTGTGAATTTTTTTCTCATGCATATGATTTTTATTTTAATAGAAATACTACACGCAGACGGGATACAAGTTTACATGGAGAGATGGCAGTGAACTTATAAAAAGAAGTAATAAGCAGGTTTATCTGAAAAAAAAAAAAAAAGAAGAAGAAGTGTATGAGAACATGGCTTTTTGAGTCAGGGACCTGAGTTTGAATATTCACTCTACCACTTACAATATGTCAAGTATTATTCTATAAGCTTTATAATAATACATGGACTCAAAGAATCCTCACGACACTTGTATGCGGTAGATGTTGTTAATATACCCATTTTATAGATAAGTAAACAGAGGCACAGACAAGTTAGTGACTTGCCCAAGTCACAAGGTCGCACAGCTGGTGAGTGACAGAGCCAAGATGAGCTAACATATATTAAGAGTCTCATAGCAGGAATAATGGTAGTGACCATCAACAGAACATCTAATCTTTCCCAGACTGTCTGATGTCTTACTGATACAGTGTGTGACAGCTGAAAAATATTAGTTTTTAAATTTTAAATCATGAAATATACCAATTATAAACATGTTGTAGGATGTTTACAAATACATATTTTATTGATAACATATTATCATTTCTTTATAACATATTTTAATTAATTCAGGATTCAGCAGGATAAAAAGTAAATCGGAAGCAAACAATTCTCTCCTAATTTGCTGTGGCAGTCATTTGATCCCATTTTCAGCAGCAATATAGACTGAGTATGCGCTACATTATTTGCCATTATATTCAGCTCTAGGATAGAGTTGGTACAAAAAAACCCCAAAACATATCCTAAACATCATTAGAGAATAAGTCATTTTGGAGTATGCCTGATAAAAATGAGCTTTGGAATAAAAATAATGGAAGAGCCTAACTATATATGCATTTCCAAGTACCATAGGTGGTCCTGATAAATTATTCTAAAATAATTTAGCACATTTACAGGAGAAATGGATACAAGCGTAAAATAACATTCCGAGAATGGCTACAGGAAAAAAAAAAAACAAAAACAACAACCAGAAACAAATAGTTCATGTCCCCAAACACTTACGGATTTCATTTTGCCTTAAAGAGCACACTTGGTTGAGAGTCTGCATTGTGCAAGGAGTATTGCTCTGTAATAACTGGCCAATTTTACTGAATTCAGCTTCTGGCATTGAATGTGGGCATCAAGTCCAGGTGCAGGGTAAATATATCATCACTGCTAATATTGAGAGAGGTTGGAAGAAGAGGGCATGAACTCAAGAAAAATAAATGAAAATGAGATCAAAAAAGAAAGGTGAGATGCAGAACCTGATCAAGTAATATAGTGCAAAAAATAAAGTGAAGAAAGAATGCTTGAGACCATTTTTATCATATAAAAAGGATAATAAAAAACAGTGTAACACTGATGTACTATATACTAGCTAACTGAACATAATAAAAAAATTTTAAAAATAGTGTAATACATTCCAAATAACAAAAGTCCAGTGATGTTATAATTAAGAAAAATGGCCATTTCTCTGTAGATAGATAAATACTTAAGAATACAGTGACATTCAAATGTGTGACCCTTGCTGGGGATGAAACATATTTACTGTAGCAATTATTTTTTATATTTCTGTTTTTTTAATTATCAATGAACACTTTTGTTGCATATGATGGCTTTTTAAATAGTAAAGAAATTATAAATACACTTGAAATATAAATTCATGGTGCCTTCTCAGCTCTGTTATTCTCTACTATTATATAAGACAAATGATTTTTTTTTTTTTAAGATTTTGTTTATTTGAGAGAGAGAGAGAGAGAGCATGAAAGGGGCGAGGGGGAGAGGGAGAAGCCGGGTCCCCGATGAGCAGAGGGCCCGATGTGGGACTCGATCCTGGGACTCCAGGATCATGATCTGAGCCGAAGGCAATTGCTTAACCAACTGAGCCACCCAGGTGCCCCAAGACAAATGATTTTTGTACACACCATACTCTCAAGGATAAGTCAGTTTAGTATATGTGCTGCTGAAGTGAGCACTAGGATAAGTCACTTTTTAAAGAGTGCTTTAAAATTTTTTTTCTGAAACAGATCTCTGCTAGAGTTTTGCTGTATTTCCTTTGTTTTCTGAAAGTCAGGCAAGTGAATTTAAGAGGGATAAAACCAGTTGTCTAATACAAACTTGAGTCATTATTGGTAAATACACATCAATTTAAGGGGTTCAGCCTTATAGATCATGCATAAAACATCACACTGAATAGTTAAATGTGATAAAAGCAAAATGAATGCTTATGGGCGGCAACTGAGTTTCATTTAATCTCTTTATAACATCATTTGAAATATATATATATTAATATGGCATGTGAATTTATAGGCAAAATCAATTATATTATTATGTGTATATACTCCTCCCGTTAGTAACACGCTAATGTATCACAGTTTCAGAGAAATGCACCCTAGAGAAAATGCTGCTATTCTTCATGGAAAAATCCATGAATAACATTATGTAAAAATTAATTTATGATAAATGATTTAAATCTAGAACTCAGAATAGCTTATTTAAATGCCATCAGAAAAGAACACCTCACCCGCAAAAAGGAGTCTAGGGATCCATTCTCCATATATTCCACCACAATCATTACTGGTCTGCCTGCAAAAAGAGCCAGAGAATGCACAAGGATTAGAGCAATTACAGAAAGATGTGCTGCAGTTAGAGATCTCCAGCTGTGGCAGCTAAATTATTTGTGTTTTATTAATAGGAAATTCATTTTCCAACATGCTTCCACAAAAGTCTTAATATTATACTTGGGCTTTTCTCCATTTTTTTGTAGCATTATTCCCATTGAGTTCATAAAAGGAACACGGATTACAAAGGAATTAAGCATTTCCTTTTCTAAAGCTCTGCCATCACTTGTGTAGGTTATGTTCTCTTTGTCCTAAGCTTTTCCTTGAAAGACCATCAACAAGCAAAAGTGAGGCTTTACACAGGGTAGCCTCAGTACAGCTTCTTGAAACATTAGACCGGGCATTTCTGTAATATTCCTAAGGCAAAACAGAGGGGAAAAATTTATAAATTCTCTTTAGGAAATTATAAACCATCAGTCACAGTCTGCTTATAAGGGCTTCTAAGTGGAAAACTGTCATCAGATTGATGGATGCTGGCTGCAAAGTGGGTGGGCTCTGCAATAGTTCTTGATCATGCCTCCGTTGGACATAGATTAGATCAACATAACAATGATGGCAGGACATGAAAAATAAGTAACTCTGATTTTGTAGTCTAGTAAGAAGCTAAAATCAGAAGCTGAACATCATTTATTTCTTCTTTATCATATCTATTTGCAACTGTTACAGTTCCCAATACCTCTATTAGGTAGAATATTTGGCATAAATAACTTAGATTTGTTTCAAAGAGAAGAATCTATTTGTTCTGCCAAATTGCTCAAGCTTAAAAGATAAACTCATTTCAGATGAAGGGGGAGTGATATTTACCTGAAATAAACATGTATGACACATTTACTTTTTACTTCTGTATTTCTTGCTTCTTATTGAAATTTTTAGCAATTGAATCTGCACAGTGCACAGAGGTTTTCCCTCATGAGTACAAAAAAGATCTGGAAAGAAATTATGTGTACCAATGATGGAAATATTGATCTCATATTGTAATTCATGTTCCTTTTATGAACTCAAAGCCGTATGGGTTAAAAGGGTGACCGTAACAAATTAGTACAATGTCTACAAATGCTAGATTTTACATTTGAATCTATATTTTAAAGATGTGCTAAAGGTTAAATGTAGTAATAAAACTCCAAATTTATCATGCATAGTATTAGAATCCAAAGAAATTTTCCATTTTGGTGGATTTCCATAATGTTCCTCAAAGTCATTAATTTCACCCAAATACAGATACAGAACTTTATCAGAAAATACTGAGGTCAAATGAACTGTTGGCACTATTGTAGCAAGGATCTAGAAGATCGAGATTTTAAACGTGACAGGATGTCTTTTATTTGGCTATTGGGGTTAGAGAGCTTGGAAACAGAAGCCTGAAGCAAACACTTGGTTAGCAAGATAGGGACAATACAAGATCATTTTTTATGATTAAATATGAAAATTCTGAAACCGATATTCCAGTATCAATTATAATGGATCATGGAAGTTAAGGGGAAAAACTGGGTTGGTACAGTGACTGCCTGAGTTAGTTCACCTGCCCAGAGTCACATCTTTTTAATCTACCTTGACCATTGCTGCCAGAGAAACATATTTAGTTTAATATATATATATCTTTGTTATATATATATATGTATACTAATTATATATATATATATATACACACACACACACACATACAAAAATCCTCTCCCTAAGAATGTCAGTCTTGATACAATAAAAAGAGCTTGCAAGCACTTCCCTTGTATTGATACAAATTATTATTAGACCTATTATACAAATAAGGAAATTGGGGATAGAAAATTAAAGTTCTTGTCCAGAGTCCAACAGCTGGTAAGTGGCAGCATCAGGCAGAATGTTTCAGAGCTTAAGCTCTTAGCTTTTATGCCATAGGTGCCTCTCAGACAATAATTTATAGATCAAAGCTGTAAGGTTCATCCTTCCGTGCTGGATCTCATCTCTCCTAACTAGCCCTACCATCTCCTGTTCCTAGCTTCATTATCATCTATACCGGTTCAGTTCTGTCTCCTCTGCTTTTCCTTTTGCTATCCCCCTGCTAGGATTATCTACCAATTTGCTTCTCTCCCTAATCTCATTCCACATGTCCCTAGAATTTATATACTGTACCTCTTCCTTGAAAGTCCCCCATAGTGATATTTCCTATAGTGGCATTCTCATCACATTTATTGTCTACATTATAAAATGTTGTGCCTGGTTCTAGGTTAGGTTGTTTTTCTCCCTTAACTTCCCACAGATGCTATGTATCCCCATTCACTAGGTTTCTCAAAGCCACGTCCCGTAAAACTGAGCAGAGTAGGAGTTTTATTTATAGTAACAGGTTGATTTTTCTCAACGATTTTCCTAATTCCTCAGAGAGTAACACCAAAGTATTTGAGTAAGGTTCTAATCTATGTGAATACCAAGTACGTTGAAATTAGTTCTAGCTATAACTCCTTGGGAGATACTTTATGCAGCCTTGGAATTCATCAGTGACAAGTTTCATCTTCTCATTAAAGATAATAAAGAGTCAAATGAAGACTCCCCCGGTTTCTTGTGAATTAGAACTTTCACACCTGAGCTTGGCATCTTTTGTATTTTGTGCAGTAACATCAATTTAGAGCTGCTATTATTAAACTAAGGAGCTGTTTTATTAGAATACTGCTGGCATCTAACCTGTAATTTGTTTCCTAGTGGTTTCCTATACGGAGGTTAGCTACACTGTGAAGATTACAAGCAACTTTACAGTCTATGATCACATTTTATAATCAACAAAATAGATAAGTATGAGGGAAATTATGACAGGATAGTATTCAAATATATGACTAGGTGACAGAAGACTATTGGTAAACAGTAATTTGTCTTATTTTCAAATATATAAAAATTATATAATACATTATTGTTATTGAAAAACATATTTGGAGGTGATTAATTCTCTTTTTATATTTTCAAAATATTTCAGCTTTTCTTCTCACTTTTTAAAAAAAATTTTACACAGTTTCCCAAAGACCTCATGTCACAGAATTAACTTAGTATTTGCACTGTACTGAAGTCAGTGGATAGACTCCAAGATTCTTGAATGTTAGTCAAGTGTCAAAATCCCTAGACCTTTTTTAGAAGCCTCATCAGTTTGCTTTAAGAGATTTTGAAAAGCACTTCTATAAGTCACACAAAAAGTGAATTTCTTTCATGTCCCTTCAAAAAATAGCCCAGAAATGTTTATGTATATCTTAAATTGCATGGGAATCAAAGCCTTGGAAGAAATCTCTTACTTATATCCAGATCACAATGAATCACAAAATCTCAGATCATCTTTTTCTGTTACAGAGAAAAATTATTTTCTTTAATTAGGACTTAAATGGACTAATTTTTTTCTTCCATATTTACAATTGCCCAATACTTGAGATGATTTTGAAACTTGGGGAGAATATTTTGTATATGTGCTGCCGAAGCGAGCACTTGGGGAGAATATTTTGCAAGTGAAATAGTATTTTTGTTTGTTTGTTTGCCTCAAGAGCATTTGTGAAAGAAGGGGATTATAGAAATTTAACGTTTTCATAAAAGTAATGAGTTTTTGCTGGATATAGTATTTTGTATCAGCTTAGCCATTTCTAAACAAATCTCAATGACCTCCAAACTATATTACAGATTTAAATAGATTCTAGTTTATTTAACATTATATCATGTCTATATTTTGTCTACAATGTAATAAAATTTGTGATGATAACTTGGCTTGACAGGTTGCTTGTATTTTCCCCCCAGTTGCAATTCTGGATTTTTGGAGCCAGTTATTTTTAACCTATTTCTACTGCCCCCATTTCTGATGTAGAGATAGTGAATTATAGTTATAATCTTGAATGGATTTAAGAATAAATAATTTTCTTATCCCTCTAAGGCATTCATATGGATGACATAAATTTGAACAAAATTACAATATATGAAATAATTATTTATTCACATGATAAGTACTAAAATTGGGGGATGATTTTCCCCTTATACTGTTGCCTGGTCATTATCAGATTGTGTCCCAAAGGAATCTTATGCTCAGGTGAATTCAAATCAAATCTTTTAACATTTCCTCTGAACTTTTTTCCCTCCTATATTCCTGTCAGGGTTAAAACATCACCATCTATCTAGTTCCCCAGGTTTGAAATCCTACTCTAATATTGGACTTCTCACTTTATCAAATCCTGTTAGTCCATAATTTATTAAATTATGCTGATTCTATTTAAATTATTGCTGCCTATATCCTGCTTTTGTTTTTTCTTCCTTCACTTATTACAAAATCAGTTACTAATTATACTTTCTAATGCTTATATAATCATTATTTCAAACATTTAGTGATGCATCAAACATTTTTTTAATGTCTACTATATATCAAGTACTCCTCTGGTTTCCAAAGAATCATCCTTAATTGGGGTGCCTGGGTGGCTCAGTTGGTTAAGTGTCTGACTCTTGATTTTGGCTCAGGTCATGATCTCAGGGTCATGAGATTGAACCCTGAATCAGGCTCCTGCTCAGTGTGGAGTCTGCTTAAGATTCTCTCCCTTTCCTCCCTCTGCCTGTCCCCCCTCACATGTATGTGTGTGGTCTCTTTCTCTCTAAAACAAAACAAAACAAACAAAACAAAATAAAACAAATCCTCAATCAATACAAGATCCTTGTTTCATGAAGTGTATAGTGGAAAGGGGAACAGAAATAGGTAAACAGTCAATTACCACAAATGGCTAAGGCCTCATCTCCTCCTTTAAAAACCCATTTTACTTATTGTTTTCTTTGCTGTAGGATTAAAATTTAAAGGGCTTGGCAATAAATTCCTTCACAATCTCTCCTCTACCTTTGTTCTAGTTCATTTTTGTTCTTTGTTCTAGTGTCATTTTTACCTCCCTCTAGTCCCGTACTTCCTGTTTTTCAAATCCTCATAATTCATGAAGTATGACTTGACTTGTACCTCTCTCTCTTCGCTGGAAGACTTCCTTCTCACTG